TGTCTGGTCGAATGGTCAGGCCGAGATAAGACCAAAAAATAAAAACCAGCATGTTTATAAATAAAATCGACTAGGTGGGTTTGTGATTGACAGTTCACATAGTTGTCGGATAAAGTTGAAAAAGTGAAGGAAAGAAAAAATCTCGTTGGGCTAAAAATGATTTACGACCATAAAGTGACTCATTTTCTTCATAGCCATTATTCAATACTATCTAAAATAAACTTTAAATTATAGAATTGTTTAACCTATGTAGGAAAACGTGTGCAAAAAATTCGTTAAATAAAGTAATAATATCGTTATGAGCAACCGATATTTTTAAATTTGAAAAAAATACAGTAAAACTAAATAAGTTATCATTAAGATATATCATTAGTTCAATGATAATATACTTTGTATGATATGAATATATAAAGGGTGTCCCAGCATTTACTGACGACTTAAATAATTTTTGATCCAGTTAATTTTTTTTGATATATTTCTTTTAATATTTAATATACTTGAGGGCCATAATAATAATGTAATTATTACATTTTTTATAATTAAATAAAAAAAAATGTAATTTTAAAAATGTTAACAAAAACTTTTCTTAAAATATACTCTACAAAATAGCTATCTACATCATCTACGCACACATTAGCCGTCCTCATATCGCATTTAATAAAATTACTTCATCTCTTTTTTGATCTTCTACCTCTTCTCCCTTCAACATTTATTTCCATAAGTGTTCTCACAGCTTCTTATTCCTTTCTCATCATAACATGACCAAACCATCTCAGCCTATTTTCTCTTAACTTATCCATGATTGAAGCTACACCGATACTGCCTCTTATAGGTTCGTTTCTTAATCTATCTTTTCTAATCATTCCACTAGTCCATCTAAGCATTCTCATATTTGCTACGCTGATTCTCTTGTCAACCGACCAACTCTCTTTTTTCGTCTCTAACTACTTTATTTTGCCTCGCCTGTTGTCCCAAAGTACATTCGAGGTCAAATAATCCTTCTGGGTTCTGTGCAGGACTCCTCATACTTTTTAACAAAATTTTACACCGGCTGTCTACCTAATACAACCTCATTAGTCGCTTCTTACAGCTGTCAGAAAAGGCCTTGCAAGTGTTTTTAACCCCTATCCATGGGGAAATATTAGTTTTATAAATGGTTAAATGTTTTTTAATTCATCTATTATATCCTATAAAGTATAATATGTTCAAATTTTATAATTATAAGATTTATTAAAATAAATAATTCTCAAAGTACTAGCATTTTTTTATTGAGACTCTAATTCAACTTTAAACATGCAAAAATTCGGTTTCACTTGACGGAAATCAAATTTTGTATATGTCTTAACAAATAAGAAATAATTTCAGAAAATTTATAAAATCAAATCAAATTTATATTAAGTAACATCAATTTTATTAAGACGTATTTGTCCTAAAAATAGCTGTTACTAATATTAAATACTAGTGATGGGAAATATCTAATTGCAATTATCGAAATATTCTTTATTTGTCCACTATTCAAATTAATGGATAGTTATTAAATAGTAAAAATATTCAATAGTTACCCAACATATATGAGTAGCTTTAAAAACCATTTAATGTTTTTTTTTTAATTTGATATTAAATGCTAAAAATAAACTATTCGATTGCAAACTATATATTTTAATAGATATTCGAAAATACCCATAACTATTGAACAATCTAAAGCAAATGTATTTAAAAGAGTTTATAAAGTTGGAATTATGGAAAAAGACTATTAATTTTGTCAAAAATATTTTATTTACTCGTACTAGCTTGAATTATTTTATAGAACACTGTTTTAGACATATTCTTATTTAAATCTATTTCTTCTCTATTTACTTGTTCCTATCAGGTTTTTATTTTTTTAAATTAATATAAATGGATATTATTTTTAAAAATTCTAATGCATGGATCATGCATGTTATTGATGGATATTAAAAAGGAACACCTTTTATAATTTTTTTTAGCTTCGATGCGAAGCTGAGAAGGTATTGGTTTTACTAAGATGTGTTTTTTTTTTTTTTTTTTTTCTGTTACCACTTTTTCTCAGCTCTCACCGAACCGATTTCTTTCAATGATACGTCAAAAGATCACAAATCGTATCTAGTCGAAGACATTACCCTTAAAAATTGAAAAAATTTCCCTCGTTCCCCGTAAAAGGGGGAAACCTCCAAAAAAATTACAAATTTAAAAATCGCTAATTTTCGTAATTTTTTCAATTTTTTTTACTTTAAAGTGCCATAACTTTTTCAAAAATGAACATATCAATATAAATCTTTTTTATATAGATGCATAATATCATTACCTTTCATTTGGTATATTTTTTTCATAAATTGAACCCTTAACCTGCCCACAAGGGGGGATTTAAAATGACAACTTTTTCACAAAAAATTAATTTTTTTAACTTAAATTTTGAAAATGTTCCGGAAGGTCTGACACTTTTATATATATCTTAAATTAAAGCTAATGTAATATGCTTTATCATGAAAAAAAAAAATTTCGGACTTTATCTTATCTTCATGGTGAAAATGGCTACCGAATGCTGTTTTTGTGTGAAAATTTTCGATTTTGTATTTTCCATTTTTAACTTTATTATGCTATAACTTTTTGAAAAATGTATGAATCATTACAATTTTTTTATGAGAAGTAGTATTTATATAGATCTTTCATTCGACATACTGTTTTTTTAAATCGGACCATTTCCCTAAATACAGGGGGGATTCAAAACATAAAAATGCATATAGAAAGTAGAACTTTTTCAACGTAACTTTTGAAAGTGTTCCGGAAGGTCTGACACTTTTATATATATCTTAAATTAAAGCTAATGTAATATACTTTATAATGGTAAAAAAAAATTTCGGACTTTATTTTATCTTCATGGTGAAAACAGACATTAAACTTAATAAAAAAAATACGATTTTTGTAAAAAAATTCTTTTTTATATTTTTAACTTTATAATGCTATAACTTCTCGAAAGATGTATGGATCAATATAATTCTTTTTTTTGTAGATGCATGATGTCTTTACCTATCATTTGGTATATTTTTTTTATAAATCTGACTTTTTACCTGCCTACAGGGGGGGATTCAAAATGACAACTTTTTCACAAAAAATTGACTTTTTCAACTTAAATTTTGAAAGTGTTCCGGAAAGTCTGACACTTTTATATATATATTAAATTAAAGCTAATGTAATCTACTTTATTATGTAAAAAAAAAATTTCGGACTTTATTTTGTCTTCACGGTGAAAATGGCTACCAAATGCTATTATTGTGTGAAAATTCTCAATTTTATTTTTTACATTTTTAACTTTATAATGCTATAACTTATTGAAAAGTGTATTGATCAATATAATTTTTTTATGGGAAATACTATTTTTTAATAATCCCTTTTTCATTCGACATACTTTATCTTAATCAGGATATTAATAAGGAACTAGCAGTTTATGAAGCTTTTGGAATAATCCACCAATTTTTTAAAATTAAACACTATCTAAAGATTTGCATCGAAGCGTTTTTTTTTGATAGTGATTTTAATCACTGTCAGATATCATTATACTTGATCCATCTATACCACGTCACCACTGTGCCGCGACCCCCCTGTGCTGGGTTTTTTTAATTGACATTTTTGAATTATCACTTTTTTTATTTACTGCAAATGCACAAAGATAATTTTTATGATTACTTCTAAATATCTACATGTCTTTCAAGTTTCAAAGTTATAAGTTATATTACAATAAATAATACTTGAATTATCAGTTCTTTTTGGTAACACTCATTAAATATAATATTCATATATAGAATATTATCTACAGTGTCGTCGTTGGACTTATAATACAAAGTTACATGAAATAACCCAACAATATAATAATTATAACATTGAGATTTCTCAACTGAAGATATCAATTTCACGCTTCAGATTGTGCGAAATAATTTATAAAAACTCCCGACACAGTGAGGATGTCCCCATTTTTGTTGTTATCAAAGTAATTGGGTATTTATTTTTTATTATTGATTACAAAGCAAAATTAAATTATATTTTCTTATTCATACCCTGACTATATATTTTATGAATCACAAGTATAATATATGAATAAATGCTTATTATAATAATTACATTTCTTATGAAATTCATATTTAATAATACAGTATTTTAATTTTTATGGAGAAATTATAAAAATTTATACATTTTTTGATTCAAGATGATTCTTTAATATTAGTCATAATTTTTAGTTTTATATATTTTTGATTTATAAATTATAAGTTGTTTTTAATGTCCTCCTATATAACTTAAAAGAGTGTCAACTTTATTGACATCTTACATATTTAACGAGCTAAAAAAAAAAATAATTTAAATAAGAAAATGATAGGACGATGAAAAATTTTATATTGTAATTATCTATTTTCCTTTGTGTTTTTAGCGTGGTTCCAAAAACATAAGTAAAAAACCGTTATTGAAATTTTATAATGCAAAAAAACTCATTTTAAAATGACTTTTAACGGTAGCATAATTTTGAGATATATATCTAAATTATTAATATTCAGGAAATTTTTTTACAATTTTAAGCGACGTTAGTATCAACAAGATAAAGTTTTTTTGAGTATTGTTCATTACAATCGGTTATAGTCAAACATAAAAAACGCACAATAACACAAAACCAATATCTTCTCAACTTTGCATAAAAGTAGAATATGATTAATATTGTAATTTGTTGAAAAATTTACTTCCTTTTATATTTTAAATATATTTATTCATAAAAAATCGTAGTATTTAAGAAATCTAAAAATAACGTTATCAGTATATAAATTAACTTTTAGTATATAGATATAATAATTACGTCAACAATTAAGTAAATATATTGAATAAATAAAAATTAATTCTTTCTTTTCAATTATTAACACATTTAATATGGTACTACAAAATTCATTTAATTAATTCTCAACATTCTATTTAAAACTAGTGCATCTATTTTTTTTCAAATAAAAATCATTAGAGAATCAACTTAAAATAAATAAATTGCACAATGAAATATTTATCAATTTTTATGTTAATAATGACCATAAAAATAAGCTTATGTCATTTTGGACAATATTTAAATTGCTCACATTCTCGTTATTTTTTAAACTTTTTTAACCATAATGAAAGATTTTTGTTACAATTCGAAAAAAATGAAGAACATTTAACTATAGAAAATCTTATGAACTATGGTAAAGCACTTCAGACACACAGTAAAGTAATTATGATATTTTTAGATGACTTGATAACCAATTGTGGATCTTTGTTTCCTTTTGGTTTGATCTCAGTAAATATGTACTTAAATAACGTTTCTGACTCATTAAATATGATTGCACAAAATGATGATGAAAAAAATGACGCTCGAAAATTATTAGAAGGCTATAAGATTATACATTTTGCAGTTAAAGAACAACTAACATATTACATAAATAAATATTGTAATAACATACCATCTAATGATAATATGGTTAGATGCAATCCTCCAATCATTGAAAACGAATATAATACTACTAATCTAATAAATATAAATAACGATCTCAAGGATAAAATACTAACGAAGTTTAAATTTACAGTAGAAAGGAATTCGTATGAAAATTTTCATTCCAAATACTTTTTGTTTTACGATATAATGACCCAACAAAATCTCAACAATGAAAATAATATTATAAAAATAGATAATAGTCAACGCATAGTATTAAATCTACTTCGATTTACTCCACTTAACGTTAAATGCACTAATGGTACTCATTTAACTATACAAGATATATTTGAGTATATGAAATATGATTTTAATTCCAATGATGTGTTACCATACATAAAGATGGTAATTGGGGCTACATTTCGACCAATAGCTATTCTAATTCGTAACTTTTTAACCTTAATTCAAGTTGCGTCTTCAGAAAATTCAGATCATGTAAAATTTTGGTTAAAATCAAATTTTATTGACATCGGTCAAAAAATAATGAATTATGTAAAAGAATTCATTTCTCTCTCCATATACAATAATAAACTGATATATTTTTTATACGACATCTTAAATAAATTTGTTAATGCCTTAAATAATTATATTGAAAAAAAAAAGTTATCCAAATTTGATATTATACTTAATAATATATTGATTGAAAAACTTTCGAATTTCTTCATTAAAACCAAATTGTACTTTTCAAGTAATATAGTTCTAACTAATAAAATTATTACTGAAAATAATGCTGATAAAATTAAAAATCAATTAGTTCAAATCATTCAAAAAGTTGAAATATATATGAACGATTTGAAAAAATGGAATGAATATTTTAAATCTATAGTAAAAAATCTTAATATTCGTTATTTTAATGTTTCAATTTTTAAGAAATTTATTGGTTTTAAAGTTATAGGTAAGAGAAAATCTAGTTACTTTTTATAATTTATATATAATATAAACTTCTATGTATTTAACAAAAAATAGCTAGCACTTGATTTGTCTTTATGTAAAAAGAAATAAAAAATAATTCAAAAATAAGATAATAAAATTAATGAGATCTCAAATGAAAATTTTATTATCGTGCTTAAAAATTGTGTAAAATAATTATTAAAAGTTTTTTTTTTTAAATTATCGAAGTTTTTTAAGAATTGATATTTTTAATACTTCTAAAATTATTTAAAATATATTTTGGCTTTTAATTTTTGATACGTTGCGATCTCGTTGAGCTTATAATACGAAGTTCAAAAAAAAAATAATTAAACAATAATAATTGAAGCTAAGAAATTTGTCATATGAAAATGTAAATTACACGGTTCAAAATGTGCGAAATAATTTATAAAAGATTTATTAATGATTATTTTAAAGATTATATATTTTAATATTATTTTTAATATTTCTAAAACTTCCTTAGAATATTCTTTAATATTAACTACGAACATAACAATTAACTGTTGTATAAAGAACTATTCGTTCAACATAATGATCATATAACATATTTTATAATTTCTGTTTTTATTAGTTCTCATGATTTTAATAAAGAGAATAAAACATTTATTATTCATTTTATTTTTTTCCAAATAAATAATTATTTTAGAGAATATTTGGTGAGTGGATTATTTGATCAATTAATATCTAATCTAATTATAAAGAAAAACTTAAAAAAAACATTAAATCTTTAATATGGAATTTTAATCATCTTATGTACTAAGCAAATATTTGTAATATATGTCATTTTAAAATCGTCACTTTATTTATTTTAGATCGTATTTGTAATACTGAATCACATTCTGAAATATACAATGTTAGTAAGAATAATATAAATAAAATTGAAATAGGATATTATGAAGATGTGCAAAATGTAAAATATGATGTTACAGAATTTGAATTAAAGAATCTAAAAGATGAAAACGATGAACCTGACATTGATACAAATATTACATTTGAGTATCATACAAATTATGAACCTCTTTATATGATTGATTATTGGCCTTATAATGAGTAAAGTGAGATGTTTGAAATATTGTTATTAGAATGAATACTGTACATTGTAAATACTTATTTGCAAAGCTTTATTATTTTTCCCCATTTTAGCATTACAAGATGAATCTATGAGATAATCACTTTGTTTCTCTTAAAATTGTAATTATATTAAGAAAATTATATTTGTTATTTTACCTTACAAAATATAATATATTAAAGTTTTATAACTGTAAGTTTATCAAAGTATGTGTAAATGTGAAAAACTAAAAAAAACCCCAATTTGGTCAAACTTCAACACGCAAGGTGGTACGGGAACGAGGTTGTTTGATCGAGTCCAAATTTTTACATTTTAATTATTCTTTTTCAAGTAAAAAAATAAGGGGATGACATGATCAAATATCTAAAAAAAATCTTTTTCTATGGTTTGAATTACCCTAAAATATCATGTATATATAAGTATTATTTATGAAAATAAAAATCGTAAATTTTTATAAATTTATTTTAAGATAAGTCATTTAAAACATAAATAATGCAATGGGTAAAAGTGACGTTTTTTTCAAATTTCTAAAAAATTATGGCTAAAATTTTATTTTCCGTAAACTATGAAAAAAAAACGGTAGCACAGTGGGGTCGAGGCACAGTGTGGACGAGGCATAGATGTGACAATTATAGATGATATCTGACAGTGATTAAAATCACTATCATAAGAAACACTTCGATACAAATCTGTAGATAGTGTTTCATTTAGAGAAATTGGTGGATTATTCCAAAAGCAACATCAACTCTTATTTCTTTGATTATATCTTAATTAGTAGATCTTTGATTTTAAAATATAATATAAGAATAAATACTAATTATAATTATTAAATTTAGTATGAAATTGATATTCAATAATTTAATATTGTAATTTAAACGGAGAAATTATAAAAATAATAAAGAAGTTATATTTTGCTATATTTTTACGTGTATAAAAATTTAAAGGGTTTGATACAATAATTTTCAATAAAAACTGTTTGTTACTATATATAAATGCACTGGACTACAAGGAACTTTCATCAGAAACAAAAATATACTTTTCTAAATTAAATTTTCGCGTTGTTTTCAAATCTGCAATTAGACTTTTTCTGTCACTTCTAATTTTTTATATTATTACTAATTACATATAAAATAATAACTAAAAGAAAAAAAATTGTTTTCAAATTATTACTGATTTAATTTTTATATGTTAAAAGTAATAATTATTAACCTTCTTTATTTCGTCCTTTAAAGTGAAAGTTTATAATAAAACAATTTTTTTTTCATTTTTAACCTATTTTTTTGGTGCTTTAAAGTTGATAAAAAATTTTTGACAAGTTTTGTGAAAGTTTATAGTAAAAAAATTGAATATGTTACCTTAACTTTTAGCCCAATTACAAGTTGAAATTGACATCATTAAATAGAAAATTTTATGAAAATTAAAACTATGGTATTTTTAAGAATCATATGCAGTCAGGAAATTTTATAATTACTATTTACAGTATAGTTATCAAAAAAACTTTTTTTGCATTTTTATCGTAATAGAACACTTAAATAGAAATCATAGTAATCATTTCTAAGTAATTTTTGGTATTTAAAAATATTCTTAATTAATTTTAATGATTTACTTTAACTAAATGAACCAATCAAAACAAAGTTGTTATAAAGATTTACTTAATTGAGCGTATAATAAAATTTGATTATAATTGTAAAAATCAATTATTCCAGGAGAAACTAACATTCATTTTTTTTAGAAATGATTTATATAGTAACATGTTAGCAAAAATTTTGTAATGTTATAATTTAGAGGTAGTACACACAAATAGAGTAAAAAAATAATTAAATTACAAAGTAAAATGATTTAATTTTGTAGTTGAAACCTATCATATCAAACTTGATTCGTCAATAAATACTTTGAAAACATTAGAAATGAATGATTTTAATTGTCTGTATGGAGAACATGGGATAAGTAACTGTTTCATTTATAATAAGAATATTTTTTTATTTTTTGAGGGTAATATCTTCAACTAGATACACATTGTAGTCATTTGACGTATCGTTGAATAAAGTAGGTTAAGTTAAAGCAGAGAAAATAAATGATAGTCACAAAAAAATATCTTTTCAGCTTTGCATCGAAACTAAAACTTAAAATATAGTAAAATAATTTTAATATGAATAAAAAACTTCTTCTCGCGAGTGGCGACTACAGTGATGGGATCCTTGATCTTTATTGAAGTTATTGAATCTAAATGAGATAAAAATCAAAGCAGTTGAAAATTTATTCTAACTTAAAAAGAATTAAGAAAAAATGCAAAAAGTTCATTGCCATACGCGGGTTGAAATCTTGTACTCCTAGCATATAAAACACAAGTTTTACCGACTCAGCAACCGTACATTGATATCGTCGTTTGAAAAAATTAGCTATTTAAGCTAGTTCAAATTTCATAGTTATTTTTCTCGACTTAAAAGAAGCAAACAAATTTAAATAAGTTTAACTTTCTATGCTATATTAATTTTTTATTTATATATTATTTATCCAAATCATTGTACTCCCCTTTTCATGTATTTTAAAATAAAATACAAAACCCAGAATTTTAACACAAAAATAGCATATTTTTGCATACGGTAGTCATTTTCACCATGAAGACAACTCCAGAGGTCAAATTTTTTTTTTCAAATTAAAGTATATTACATAAGCTTTAATTTAAGATATATATAAAAGTGTCAGTATTTCCGGAATACTTTCAAAAATTAAATTGAAAATATCCTAGTAACAATACGCATGTTTAAAGTTTTGACTCCCCTTGTTAAAGGGGTATGATCCGATTTACAAAAAAAGCGTGCCAGATGAAAAGGGTATATAAATATTTATTATAAAAAAATAATAATATTGATCCATACATTTTTCCAAAAGTTATATAAAATATAAATTAAATAATATAAAATATAAAATCCAAAATTTTTTCACGGAAATCGTACGTTTTTCTTTAACATTGATGTCCGTTTTCACTACGAAGACATCTCCAGGGGTCAAATTTTTTTTTTTTCAAATAAGAGTATATTACATTAGTTTTAATTTAAGATATATATAAAAGTGTCAGTCTTTCCGGAACATTTTCAAAAGTTATGTTGAAAAAATTAATTTTTTGTGAAAAAGTTGTCATTTTGAATCCCCTTTCTGTGGGCAGGGAAAGGGTCAAATTTATAAAAAAAATATATAAAACGATAGATAAATATCTAAGGTGTCTATAAAAAAAAAATTATATTGATTCGGTCATTTTTAAAAAAGTTATGGCAATTTTAAGTAAAAAAAAATGAAAAAATATCGAAAATTAGCGATTTTTAAATTTGTAATTTTTTGGGGGATTTCCCCCGTTTACGGGGAACGAGGGAATTTTTTTCAATTTTTGAGGGTAATGTCTTCGACTAGATACGATTTGTGATCTTTTGACATATTGTTCATCAAAATCGGTCCNATACGATTTGTAATCTTTTGACATATTGTTCATCAATATAGGTCCAGCGAGCACTGAGATTGTGCGTTTACAGACACAAAAAAATAAAAAAAAAAACACATCATAGTAAAATTAATACCTTCACATCGAAGCTAAAAATTAAAATTATTATTATTTGAATTTTTCAAAAATGATATTTTTGTAATTATACTATATAGCTTTTTTAAATTGAATTATTCTATTTCGTCAGTATATTTTGAAATCGCATAATATGAATTTTTTTGGCTGTTTGAATAATTTATTAAATATTACCTGCCAACTTAATTGCAATTCTATGCAGGAATAATAAGATGTATTGCAAAAAACAAATCTGGTCAAATATTGATTCTTGGTGAATTTAAATATAAGTATCCAAAATGTTCAGAAAGTATTTTAAATTCAGAAAATATTTCTAAATAATACAGTTGAATATTAAGTTACTTCCTTTATAAAGTTTTTGTTCATAAATATAAAATTATTGTTAGAGTAAATTACATGAATTTATTCACGAATTTATTGATTTAAACATGATCAAAAATTTACTTATTGCTTTATGCCTTTTAGTAAGTAATTTTATTTGTTAAAGTTTATTGATTAAAAAATAATATACATACATAGCAATGAAATATTTTAGAATATTTTAAAAATATTTTTAGATATAACCAGAATATCTTAAAACATTTTCATAATATTCTCAGATTATATTTTGGCAAGGAATATTACATTCTCACAATATATTTTAGGTATATTTCTGAAATATTATAAAAAAAAATATTTCGACAATATTTAGCAGGATGTCTTATGAATATAAATAAATGATATATTTATCGTTATTTATGTATAATTATTAAAGACATCCACACATGCAAAACATTAATAATTAGTTTAATTTAATTACTTTGTCATATTAATATAACAACAATAATAAAGGAAACTATCGTACATCTAGATAATATTTTAAAAGTGATTCCACTTATCATGAATTACTTAACATAATTAGTCAAAAATAAAAATTATATTAATATTATAGCTTCGATGCGAAGCTGAGAAAGTATTGGTTTTACTAAGATCATCGACCAATTTTTTAAAATTAAACACTATTTAAAGATTTGCATCGAAGCGTTTTTTTTTTTTATAGTGATTTTAATCACTGTCAGATATCATTATACTTGATCCATCTATGCCACGTCACCACTGTGCTGGGTTTTTTTTTATTTGTTACTTTTACGTATAATGTTTTTAAACAAAAAGAAGAAGAAACTAAGTTTCTTAATTTGTCAATCATAAAGTCTTTTTAGCTTCGATACGAAACTGAGAAGGTATTAATTTTACTATGATGTGTTTTTTTTTTTTTTTTTTTTTTTGCCTGTGATCGCTCAATCTCAGTGTTCGCTGGACCATTACCCTCAAAAATTGAAAAAAAATCACTCGTTACCCGTAAACGGGGGAAATCCCCCAAAAAATTACAAATTTAAAAATCGCTAATTTTCGATATTTTTTCAATTTTTTTTACTTAAAATTGCCATAACTTTTTTAAAAATGAACGAATCAATACAATTTATTTTTTATAGATACCTTAGATATTTACCTATCATTTTGTAAATTTTTGTGAACATTTGACGCTTTTCAAGCCCACAGAAAGGATTTCAAAATAGTAACTTTTTTACAAAAAATTAACTTTTTCAACTAAACTTTTGAAAATGTTCCGGAAATACTGACACTTTTATATATATCTTAAATTAAAGCTTATGTAATATACTTTAATTTGAAAAAAAAAATTTGACCTCTGGAGTTGTCTTCATGGTGAAAATGACTACCGTATGCAAAAATATGCTATTTTTGTGTTAAAATTCTGGGTTTTGTATTTTATTTTAAAATACATGAAAAGGGGAGTACAATGATTTGGATAAATAATATATAAATAAAAAATTAATATAGCATAGAAAGTTAAACTTATTTAAATTTGTTTGCTTCTTTTAAGTCGAGAAAAATAACTATGAAATTTGAACTAGCTTAAATAGCTAATTTTTTCAAACGACGATATCAATGTACGGTTGCTGAGTCGGTAAAACTTGTGTTTTATATGCTAGGAGTACAAGATTTCAACCCGCGTATGGCAATGAACTTTTTGCATTTTTTCTTAATTCTTTTTAAGTTAGAATAAATTTTCAACTGCTTTGATTTTTATCTCATTTAGATTCAATAACTTCAATAAAGATCAAGGATCCCATCACTGTAGTCGCCACTCGCGAGAAGAAGTTTTTTATTCATATTAAAATTATTTTACTTTATTTTAAGTTTTAGCTTCGATGCAAAGCTGAATTTCGACAAAAAATAATTGACCTATATGACTAAGAACCACCCTAGTATTCATATGTTATAATTATAAATCGGGATAAAATTAAGGGAATAAGTGTTACTGTTGTTTTTGAAATAATCTACCAATTTCTTAAAATTAATTAAAATTAATATCTACAGATTTGCATCGAAGTGTTTCTTATGATAGTGATTTTAATCACTGTCAGATAACATCTATAGTTGTCCTAATTATGCCTCGTCCATACTGTGCCGTGACCCCACTGTGCTACCGTTTTTTTTACACCTATAAGGTATAAGGGATGAACATAAAATAAACTTAAGGTTGAAAAATTGAGAGAAGCATTAAACTAAACTAAAAAAATTAAATAATAATTAATATCATTTTTTTTTTCAATTACTTAACTGGTTTAATTTTGTGTATAATTTAAACTTTTGAAGGATGACTTGTAAAACTTGTGCCATACTTTTTTCAATAATCAAATTAGTTGTATTTGTATAGTCTGTATCATTGTTACTTCTAACAGCCTCTAAAAATATATGTTTTTGTTTGTATTTATAATTTTAACAATTTACATTAAATAGTAACTATAATAATAATAGTAACTAATTAATGACATGGTTAAAATTTCTAAGAAAAATACTATTTATTTATTAATACATGACATATTCGACCAACAGAGCCGTAACAACGTGACTTAGTAACGAACGAATAAAGTAATAGTTTCTAACCTAAATGTAAAATGAATTAAAATAAATGTAAATTTCCAGTTTGAAAAGTTTGAACCGGAGAATTGTACTATTCTTACTATAGTAAAATACATTTTTTAGGGTTTTAAGTTTCAATGAACAATAATAAGATATAATTGCGTTGATAAAATTAAACAAATTTTAACTCGATAGGCCTGCAAATAATAGCAATAAGGTTTTTTATTGTCTCTGACTTGTCTAGTTTAATTGAATTAAGTTAATTAAAATTGATACTAATTAGAGAAAACTGTTGTTTACTTGGAAAAGATTTAGGAATTAGTATATATAACATCCAAAGATGTAACTAAAGGAACGCAAGGGGATGGTTTACCTCTCTTAAGTTAACTCAATTGGTCAATAAGATATATATTTTTAATATTTAAAAAATTATATTGATATTATAACGTATAAATATTTCGAGTTAAATATTCTATATTTATTCACATTAATATATTTTCATAATATTAATTAGCAAATATTTAAAAAGATATATTTTAAGCATAATGTAGAAATACTTTTAGTGTAATATTCTGTATTTGATCTCTTTAATATATTCTCAAAATATACATAGACAAATATTTCGTCTGCATATTGTAAAAATATTTCAAATAGAATATACTTTTTTATCATATTTATGAGATATTGAAACAATATTTACTTCAAAATTTTTTTTTTTAATATTTTGACAATAATAATATGTGAAAATTGCTATGTGGGTATTAAAAATTATTAAAATTTTGTTTTAAAAAGGAACATGACATTTATCATGTTTCTTGCACAATTTAATAAATTGTTTAATAACTATTACGTACTGATCATAATTAAAGAAAAAATTAATAAAAAAAAACTTTTACATATATAGAAATTCATCTCGGCAATATCGGAAGAAGAAATCATACAATTAAATTATTTAGTAACTTGTAACACAAAAACCGCTATAAATAATATCATGAAGTGTTTAAAAAAAAATCTTAAAGGTAAATGGGTAAGCTAAAACAAGGCTTGAAAACGTTTTTATAACGTTATGATTATTAATAATTACGTATTAAAACGTCAAAAACAATACAACTATAACACAAGAAACGTTAAATATCAATAACATTTTGTCTGTATTATCATGATATCTAATATATAACCTTTTGAATAGTAAAAAAAAATTCAAATATTAGTAAGGAAACGTTTAAGTAAAACATACCATTAACAAAACAAATTTTAAAATGTATAAGGTAAAAATTAAAATAATTTTTTAATTTTAATCCCTGATTAAACTACTTTTATAACTTGTGCTATCAGTTGAATTATGTAGTTTTGACTAATTTAATTTGAAATTTTATATTTTTATTCAATGATAATTATAAAAGTGTAATAAATATTTTGCATTTTTGAAAACGCAGGTATCATAAAACAGCTAATACCCTTTGTTTTTATTGAAATATTATACATATATGAAAAAAAGTTTATATATCTGTCAAGTTATTAGCAAAAAATTTATTGACATGTTTTTTTTAGCTTCAATGCGAAGCTGAGAAGGTATTAATTTTACCATGATGTGTTTATTTTGTTTTTTTGTGTCTGTCACTGAATATTTTCAGCTCTCATTGGACCGATTTTTCTCAACGATACGTCAAAGATCACAAATAGTATCTTGTTGAAGATATTACCCTCCAAAATTGAAAATTTTTCCCTCGTTCTCCGCAAATAGTGAAACTGTATATATATTTTAATGAAATCAAATAATAAAAAATATGATTTAAACATTTCTCAAGAATGAAGAAAAATTAGAAAAGATTTATTAAGATTACATATTTGTTAATTCAACAGCAATTTCGATATATTAATATTGTCAAAATATAATACAAATATAAAATAGTAGTATTTAAAATTATAGCTCATAAGTTGTTATCAATCAAATATTCTAATATTAATATGAGTCTTCATATTAATATTATTAATAGTATTCTTTTATTAGAAAAACTCAAAATATATACATTTAAGAACTATAATGAGGAGTAAAACAATATTTCCTTTATAAAATAACACAAAAACCCTTTTATTATAATCTAATATAGCTTTGCTTCATTTTAAATTTATTTATTTAAGTAAAATAATGCAGGATACAAATATAACAAATCCGATGAAAAAAATTTAATTTATAAGGCACATTACACAAGTCATAAGATTTTATTTGCAAATACCGATATAGCTTCGATATATAGAGAAATGAGAGATATTATATGCAAGCACGAAATGAATTGTAGAAAATTCGTTGAAAAATGTTTTAATACATTTCACCAAGATTTATTATGTTTAGATAACATAAAATGTTGTATTAAAATCAAGGTAAAGTATTCAGAAATAATATTTAGATGATTATAATGTATTTTGAATTCACATATAAAATTTTGCTGTATAATTTTATTTTGACTACATGTATTTATTTTTGTATCCTTTTATCTCATATCTGTGACTATTTTCCAAAAATTGATTAGCCTTTAAATATATTGAGTAACTTAAATTGTACTTTAATTACTTTAATATTAAAAAATAGAGCGAATTTGTACATTCGCTATTCATTATTCATATATACATTCGTTATTGCAAATAACTTATAGTATATTATAGTTATATTTAGTATTCTTAAAAAGTGAAAAATAACATAAATTTATGAAAAAAAATTATTATCTATCTAATGTTTTCAATATTATCTATATAATTTTAAATATGGTTAACTTTTGATATTAATCGACCCTTTAAAAACTCATACCCTAGTAAATTTTTTGTCAATTTTACTTATTTTTGAAAAACGCAAAATGTCTTTTAATTTTAAGGACGTCTTATACAAAGTGATATTTTTGAACTGCAAAAAGCATAGCATATCATTATAATTGGGTTATAATTTTTGGTAGATGACAAAAAACCAACTTTTCAAACATATAATTTAAAAATCGAAATTTAATTTTAAATCAGCTTTAGAATAAAAGTCACAAATATTATACTAATAATAACATGTGGCAAATAGACTTCTATGAATTTATACATTTACTTACAGGCAAAGTTAAGTGAAGAGCAAGAGGAATATGTTGACAATTTAAATGATCGGATTACTAAACAATTAGAAGTAAGAATGATTTTACATTTAATTATTCGTTTACGTGACATGGAATTAAAATGGTTCTTATCATAATCTTGTTACACATCTTTATGTTTCAGTTTACTGTATATTTATACAATAAAACGAGAAATTTCTAATGACATTTTTTTTTCCTCATTTCTCATATCGCCCAGGTGTAAATATGTTAGTAACATCTGATATATTTAGACAAAAGTTATTTAATGTCAGTTAACTTCAGATTTATTGTCAAATATCAGTCTCAATACCCAATTATTGCTGCCTAAACAACCGCACGTCAATAATTTGTCTGTTTATTCTGGATACCTTTCCTTATCTTGTGTCTTGTACATTGTCTACACCTTGTACTTCAGACTTCAATTAAGTACATCAGGTATTTGTATCTTGCACTTTCTCTGCATCTTGTACTTCGACGATTCTATCTTGTCCTTTCTATATCAACGGCTATTTTACACTTTCGATAGTACTGAAGTGTCAGACAAGTATATAAATTAGGGTGTCTCTTATTTTTCAAATTTTGGAAATTTTTTCGGCTCCCTCCTAGATTTGTGTATATACATATAAAAAGCGCCTACAAAAAATTTCAGCCCGAACAAATAAGTTTAACCCGTGCCGACTTGGGGTTGAAAATCGGCAAAAATGGGTACTTTATTAGTTTTTAGCAATTAACTTGTAAATTAGCGTTCTCACAAAAAGAAATTATTGAAACTAAATTGTAAATTTAATTGTTTTGTATATATTAAGTCCTAACAGTTTTTCTTTTAAATCCATTAGTTTTCTAGAAAAATGTCAAAATACATAATATTTCATACAATTGTCGAAATTGGCATATTTACGAATATTTCATCATATCTGACAAACTATATGTGATACGACCTAATGTTTCATACAACAATAGTTTAAAATTAAATTATACGAAATAAAAGTAATAAGTACAAATTTCATTGACCCGTTCGTTATATTGCTATAACTGAAATTGTGAACATAAAATTTCTTTTTCGTGTAAATAAAAAACATGAGTATTCCAATTACTTGTATGCAAATTTAAAAAATTAGTATTGATATCGAATCATTTAAAAAATTGCATACTGCTCTTTGGCAATCTTTATATCTCTCTTCTTTCTCTTGTAATTTTTTGTCGATACCACCTAGACAACCAATTTAACCAGGGAGTCTTTGGTTCATTAAAATTTGTTCATTGGTAACTACCTTAATCAAATTTAAAGCATCGGCTTGAGCGATATCAAACAAATTATCGAAATTATTCATGAACTCAATTTCTTTTACTTTAAATGTTTCTTCAATTTTGTAAGAATTCTTTTGTAAAATGAGCCACTTGTCATAAAAATTAACTAACTTGTTTACACAGTGAAGAAATGCACGAGTAGGAATTCTAGGTTTGTCCAAAAAAATATTACACTTGCGAATAGTAAATTCTACACTCTTTCTTATAGTAAGATTAAAAATTCTAAATTTATAAAAAAAAACTTTTAGAACTTACCCAATGGATGGAAGTTTTGAACCTAAAATTTGAGTAGTCAAAAACCTTAACAAAAATATTTTATTGTCATTTTGTAATACAACCGACATTTTTACGTACACTAAAATAAAAAAAGTTAGAGCATTATTAAGTTAAAAATATAAAAAAAACGGTAGCACAGTGGGGTCGAGGCACAGTATAGACGTGGCATAGATGAGATAAATATAGATGATATCTGACAGTGATTAAAATCACTATCATAAGAAACGCTTCGATGCAAATCTGTAGATAGTGTTTCCTTTAGAGAAATTGGTGAAATATTTTAAAAGCAACATGAACTCTTATTTCTTTAATTATATCCTGATTAGTAGTTCTTTGATTTTAAAATATAATATATGAATAAATACTAATTATAGTTTTTAAATTTAGTATGAAATTGTGAGGCCAGCTATGATGTATGGTTAATAGTGTTGGGCGGTTGATAAGAAAGTAGAGCAGAGAATAAGTGTAGCAGAGATGAGAATGCTTAGTTGGATGAGTGGAGTGACTAGAGAAGATAGGATAAGGAACGAGCATATAAGAGGAAGTATAGGTGTTGCGTCAATCGTGCATAAGTTGACAGAAAATAGACTTAGATTGTTTAGTCATGGTATGAGGAAAGAAGGATCGAAAGCTGTAAGAACAGTTATAGAAATGAATGTTGAAGGAAGAAGAGATAGAGGAAGACCAAAAAAGAGATGGAGGGATGCTATTGAATGCGATTTGAGGACAGCTGATGTGAGCGTAGAAGATGTGGGAGATCGTGTCAAGTGGAATCTTAGGATAAGGGTGCCCGACCCCAAGTAGTTGGGATTAAGGCAAAGAAAAAGAAAAATATTACCAGAAATTCCGGTGGCAATTGACATAATATGATTGTTGTTTCGGAATGTACAATTTAGCGTTTAGTTGGGTTTAAATAATATAGCGTCAAATCAATTACCTACTCTATCGGTTGTATCTCAATATACACTACACTTTAATGATACAATAAATAAATAAACTCACACATACACACATATGCATTTATAACATTGTGTCTAATGTAAGTATAACATGATAAAAAGTAACCGTAAAATGAAAAAAATGGAATATAAATTTTATTACTCATATTAAATGTAATGTAACTCGAAAAATATTTGTTTAAATGAAAAAATATAAGATTATATTTTTATTTATAATTGTCTTTTAAACAACTTTTGTACGAAACTTTTTTTTGTAAGTTAAATATTTTTTGAGAAAGAAATTAAGAAAGCTCATATTTTTGAACTTTTGCGAGGATTTAAAAAAAAAGCTCAATTCCAATTTTGAGGACTATTAGTATGTCATTATACATATTTTAATTCAACTTTTAAAAAAACAAAATTTTTTCCGCAATTTTTCCTTTGTTGACAGGCCTAGATGTCAATTTTAAACTTGTAATTGAGCTAAAAGTTATGGTAATATATTCAATTTATTTTACTATAAACTTTCATAAATCTTTATCAAAAATTTTTCATCAACTTTAAAGAACCAAAAAAATAGGTTAAAATTGAAAATTTGGACTGATTATTTTTAACATATTAAAAATCAAATCAGTAATAATTTGAAAACAAATTTTTTTTTCTTTTAATTATTATTTTATATATATAATTAGTAATAATATAAAAAATTAGAAGTGATAGAAATAGTCTACTTGCAGATTTGAAAACAACGCGAAAATTTGATTTAGAAAAGTATATTTTTGCTTCTGATGAAAGTTCCTTGTAGTCCAGTGCATTTTTTTATAGTAACAAACAGTTTTTATTGAAAATTATTGTATCAAGCCCTTTAAATTTTTATACACGTAAAAGTAAAGCAAAATATAACTTCTTTATTATTTTTATAATTTCTCCGTTTAAATTACAATATTAAATATCAATTTCATACTAAATTTAATAATTATAATTAGTATATATTCAAATATTATATTTTAAAATCAAAGAACTACTAATCATGATATAATTAAAGAAATAAGAGTTGATGTTGCTTTTGGAATAATCCACCAATTGCCTAATTAAAACAAAAAAAAAAAAAGTTTGTTGGGAATTTTTTCTGCTATTCTGCAAAATTACTCCTTCGTTGACTAGAATGAATCATTAAATAGAAAATTTTATGAGAATTAAAACAATGTTATTTTTAAGATTAATATGCAGTCAGAAAGTTTTATAATTATTATTTATTGTAAATTTATCAGAAAAACTCATTATTTTTTGCATTTTTATCGTAATAGAACACTTAAATAGAAATCATAGTAATCATTTCTAAGTAATTTTTGATATTTAAAAAGATTCTACTATTGAAATATCCAGAACTGAATTAATTTTAATGATTTACTTTAACTAAAAAAAAAAAAGTTAATATTTTGAATCCCTCTTGTGGGCAGGTAAAGGGTTAGATTTATAAAAAAAACCAAATGATAGATAAAGACATGCATCTAAATAAAAAAAAATATACTGATTTGGTCATTTTTGATAAAGTTATAACAATTAACAAAGTTATAAGTTTTATACACTGGACTACAAGGAACTTCCATCAGAAACAAAAATATACTATTCTAAATCAACTTTTCGCGATGTTTTAAAATGTGCAATTAGACTTTTTCTATAACTTCTAAGTTTTAATATTATTAAAAAATAGTTTTTACATATAAAAAAAAATAATTAAGAACAAAAAAAATTGTTTTAAATTAATACTGATTTGATATAATATTTAATATTAATTTGATTATTAATAAGTTAAAAATAAGGAAAATGACATATTTAACCTATTTTGTTAATCGTTTAAAGTTGATTGTTGTAAATGTTTATAATAAAAAAAAAAAATTTATTTTACCATAACTTTTAGCTCAATTGGTAAGTTTGACATTGACATAATTAAATAGAAAATTTTATGACAATTAAAAAAATTGTATCGTTAAGATCAATATGCAGTCAGAAAGTTTTATAATTACTATTTATTGTAAATTTATCAGAAAAGCTCAATATTTTTTTGCATTTTTATGGTAATAGATAACTTAAATAGAAGTAATAGTAATAATTTCCTAGGAACTTTTGTTGTTTGTTGAAAAGATTCTATAATTGAAATATTGAGAACTTAATTAATTTTAATGATTTACTTTAACTAAATGTACCAATCAAAACAAAGTTGTTAAAAAGATTTACTCAATTGAGTGTATTATAAAATTTGATTATATTTGTAAAAATCAATTGTTAATTCAGGAGAAAAAACAATCATTTTTTTTAGAAATGATTTATATAGCAACATGTTACAAAAAAAAATTGTAATATTATAGTCTAGTAGTAGCACACACAAATAGAGTAAAAAAATTATTAAATTACAAAGTAAAATGATTTAATTTTGTAGTTGAAACCTATCATATCAAACTTCATTCGTTAATAAATATTTTGAAAACATTAGAAATTAATGATTTTAATTGTCTTTATGGAGACGATGTAATAACTAACTGTTTAATTGATAAATTAGAATTTTTTTTTCAATTTTTGAGAGTAATATCTTCAACTAGATACGAATTGTAGTAATTTGACGTATTGTTGAAAAAAGTAGGTCAAGTTAGAGCAGAGAAAATAAATGATAGTCACAAAAAAATATCTTCTCGGCTTTGCATCGAAGCGAAAACTTAAAATATAGTAAAATAATTTTAATACGAATAAGAAATTTCTTCTTGCAAGGGGCGACTAAAGTGATGGGATCCTTGATCTTTATTGAAGTTATTGAATCTAAATGTGATAAAAATCAAACGAGTTAAAATTTATACTAACTTAAAAAGAATTAAGAAAAAATGCAAAAAATTCATTGCCATATGCGGGTTGGAACCTCGTACCCCAAGCGTATAAAACATCACTTTTACCAACTCGGCAACCGTACGTCGATGGCGTCGGATGAAAAAATTGGCTATTTAAGCTAGTTCAAATTTCAAAGTTATTTTACTCGACTTAAAAGAAGCAAACAAATTTAAATAAGTTTAACTATCTATACTATATCAATTTTAATTTATATAATATTTATGAAAATCTGTACTCCCCTTGTCAGGTATTTTAAAATAAAATAAAATACAAAACCCAGAATTTTAACACAAAAATAGCATATTTTTGCATACGGTAGTCATTTTTACCATGAAGACAAATCCAGAGGTCAAATTTTTTTTTTTCACATTAAAGTATATTACATAAGCTTTAATTTAAGATATATTTAAAAGTGTCAGTATTTCCGGAATACTTTCAAAAATTAAATTGAAAATATCGTAGTAACAATACGCATGTTTAAAGTTTTGACCCCCCTTGTTAAAGGGGTATGATCCGATTTACAAAAAAAGCGTGCCAGATGAAAGGGGTATATAAATATTTATTATAAAAAAATAATAATATTGATCCATACATTTTTCCAAAAGTTATATAAAATATAAATTAAATAATATAACATATAAAATCGAGATTTTTTTCACGGAAATCGTACGTTTTTCTTTAACTTTGATGTCCGTTTTCACCACGAAGACAAGTCCAGAGGTCAAATTTTTTTTTTTCAAATTAAAGTATATTACATAAGCTTTAATTTAAGATATATATAAAAGTGTCAGTCTATCCGGAACATTTTCAAAAGTTAATTTGAAAAAGTTATACTTTCTATACGCATTTTAAAAGGTTTGCACCCCCCTTGTATAAAGGGAAATGGTTCGATTTTAAAAAAAAGTATGTCGAATGAAAGAAGTATATATAAAGTATTTATCATTAAAGAATAAAGTTGATTCATGCATTTTTTAAAAAGTTATAGCAACATAATGTTAAAAAATGTAAAATATAATATCAAGAATTTTTTCACAAAAATAGCATATTTTTGCATACGGTAGTCATTTTCACCATGAAGACAAGTCCAGAGGTCAAATTTTTTTTTTTCAAATTAAAGTATATTACATTAGCTTTAATTTAAGGTATATATAAAATTGTCAGTCTTTCCGGAACATTTTCAAAAGTTAAGTTGAAAAAGTTAATTTTTTGTAAAAAAGTTACCATTTTGAAACCCCATCCTTTGGGCTGTTAAAGGGTCAAATGTTCACAAAAATATATAAAATGATAGGTAATTATCTAAGGTATCTATAAAAAAAAAAATTATATTGATTCGGTCATTTTTAAAAAAGTTATGGCAATTTTAAGTAAAAAAAATTGAAAAAATATCGAAAATTAGCGATTTTTAAATTTGTAATTTTTTGGGGGATTTCCCCCGTTTACGGGGAACGAGGGAATTTTTTTCAATTTTTGAGGGTAATAACTTCGACTAGATACGATTTGTGATCTTTTGACATATTGTTCATCAAAATCGGTCCAGCGAGAGCTGAGATTGAGCGTTCACAGACACAAAAAAAAAAATAAAAAAAAAATAAAAAAAAAACACATCATAGTAAAATTAATACCTTCTCAGCTTCGCATCGAAGCTAAAAACAATAGGAAGCAGTTGAACTGAATACGTGACGTAAGCAACTTAAGTGATATAAGTATGAGTTTGCTATACCTATTGCGTTTTGTAATAAATTTACGTTTCCAGAGTTATTAATAATTAAAAAATAATAACAATCCAGTCATACCATAGTATTATCGACGTAATTGCACGATAAGTGTTGAAATGTACCAGATGATAACTAATAGAATCTAAGAATAAAATTAATATATTTAGTAAAAATCGTAATATGACCGATCTATTTCAGTTATAGCAATAAAACGATCGGTTCAATGAAATTTGTACTTATTACTTTTATTTCGTATAATTTAATTTTAAACTATTTTGTATGAAACATTAGGTCGTATCACATATAGTTTGCCAGATATGATGAAATATTCGTAAATATGCCAATTTCGACAATTGTATGAAATATTATGTATTTTGACATTTTTCTAGAAAACTAATGGATTTAAAAGAAAAACTGTTAGGACTTAATATATACAAAACAATTAAATTTACAATTTAGTTTCAATAATTTCTTTTTGTGAGAACGCTAATTTACATTACATTACAAATGAATTTACATAGTATCTCATTTTCACCATAAAGATGAAATAAAGTCCGAAATTTTTTTTTCCCCATATTAAAGTACATTACATTAACTTTAATTTAAGATATACAGGGTGTTCAGTAAGTCAGGAAACGGGTATCTATTGTTCTCATTGTTACAAACAATGAGAACAATAGAAAACCGTTTCCTGACTTACTGAACACCCTGTATATAAAAGTGTCAGTATTTCCGGATCATTTTCAAAAATTAAGTTAATTATGTCATTTTGAATCTCTTCCTGTAAACAGGTAAAGGGTCACATTTATAAAAAAAATATACAAAATGATAGGTAAATACCTCATGTATCTATAAGAAAAAATTGTATTAATCCATAGATTTTTAAAAAAGTTATGGCGGTTTTAAGTAGAAAAAAATTTAAAACAAACTTTAATTTGATATACAGGGTGTTCAGTAAGTCAGGAAACGGGTATCTATTGTTCTCATTATTACAAACAATGAGAACAATAGAAACCCGTTTCCTGACTTACTGAACAGCCTGTATATTTAAAGGACGCAGTTATTTCAGAACATTTTCAAATATGTAATTTTTTTTGGAGATTTTCCCCATTTAAGGGGAACGAGTGAAATATTTTCAAGTTTTGAGGGTAATGTCTTACTATTAGATACTATTTATAACCTTTTGACGTATTGTTGAAAGAAATTGGTTTATTTTTGAGACGTTTTTATAAAATATCCCCATAAGTGGTCGTATATTCTGATAACACTAGTTAAAGCGCCGTTGTTCTCCCAAATGCTCAGTGTCAATATGTACTGCATGATACTCATTTTCTCAGAAACTATTAAAAATTTTAAATGATCGTAAAGGAAATTAATGAAAGATTTTTGTTAGAAATTAAATTAAATATACTTGGATTCACTCATCTTCACGTTAAATGCTCTGCGGTACTCGTTTAACAACACAAAATGTATTTTAGTACATGACATATGATTTTAATTCTAAGATGTTTTAGCATACATAAAGATGTTATTTTTGGCCACTTTTCGATTAAGCGCCATTCTTAAACACAACTTTTCAACCTTATTTAAAGCTGTATCATCAGATAATTCAGATAGTGTATCATCTCGGTTATAACCGACATTTATCGTCATGGGTCAAAACATAATTGATTTTATTAACTCAATACTTCATTTTTATCTATTTTTGTATATGATGTTTTTCTTTATTATTATTATTTGGCTCGAACAATTTTCTGACATTATCGAGGTTTTTTTAAATTTTTCTTGTCGAAATTCCGCCTGTTCAAGTTTTATGATAATTATCTGGAAAGGGTTACAAAAAAATACAGATACACAAAAAAAATTAATAAAAAAAAAAGTAAATATTTTTTCAACTTTGCATCGAAGCTAAAAATTAAATCATTAAAGGTAAATTATTTTAGTCTTAATAACGTGTAATACGATTTAATTAATGCCAATATTAAATAAAATACTTTTCAGTAAACATTTACTGTTTCATTAAATTTATAGATAATTTTATTTTTAATACGTAATTAAACAAGATTAATAAAAAAAAAATTTTTTATGTACAGGGATCCATTTCGGCAATATCTGAAGATGAAAAAATGCAATTAAATATAATATTAAATTGTAACAGAGAAACCGCTATAGATGATATCTTGATGTGTTTTGAGGAAGATCTTAAAGGTAATTTGTGTAAATTACAACAGGGCTTGAAAACGTATTTACAACGTAATAATTATTAATTATAACATTTTAAAACGCCGTAATATAATATAAATATACCATGTAAAACGTTAAAATATCAATAAGTTTTTTCCGTCAATTACAGTTACATTTTATGCTACTTTATTTTGCACATTTCTTTAAATACTAAACAAAATTTTATATTAGTTAGTTGTATAACAAGACAGAATATAATTAACTATATGAATTATTTCAAAATATCTTATATCACAAATTTAGATTTAAATTTTTATTATAATGAGTGAATATGTTAGGTGGTTGGTTACAGCTCGTAATGGTGTATATTTACAACGAACATTCGACCCACGCTATATACCGAAATTTGATTTAAAATGCTTGTAACTCAATAAGCATTAAAGTTATTATCAATTTATCAAAAATTTTTATAATAAAATGGCTATTGAAAAATTGTTATTTTAACAATTAAAAAAAAAGAGATATGTACATTTATTATTTAAATAAAATAATAAAAAAAATAGGATTTAAACAAATCCCAAGAATGAAGAAAAATTAGAAAATATTTATTAAGATTTCGTATTAGTCATCACAATAGCAATTTCGATATATTAATATTGTCAAAATATTTTTACAAAATAATTTTTAAAATATTTTGAAGCAAATATTGTGACAATATCTCAAAATATAATACAAATATATTATATTGAAATATTTCCACTATATGCTAACAAAATAATGTTTTAAATATTTATTTATGTATATTTTGAGAATATATTAAAAAGAATAAATATAGGACATTTAACTTGAAATATTAAAAATATATATTTTGTTGGCCAACTGAGGAAACTTGAGAAAGGATGAGGTAAGAGATGAGGAGTAAAACAATATATTTTTTTTTTAATTATTGAGTAACACCAAAACTCTTTTATTATAAATTAATAGACCTTTGATTAATTTTAAATTTATTTATTTAATAAAAATATTGCAGACTACAACTATAACAAAGATGATGAAAGTATTTTTAATATGATAACAGACATTAGTCATGCAATTTTATTGGAAGATTTCGATATAGTAAACCAATATAGAATAATGCGAAATAATTTATGCAATGATAACGAGGAATGTAAAATGGCCGTTGAAAAGTGTTTTCATTCATTTTACAAAGATTTATTTTGTAGAAATAATCGAAGTCTCAGTAGTAGTGCATGGGTAAGACATTCTAAAATAAAATCTAGATAATTAAAATTTATTTTTAATTCACATTTAAAATTTTGTTATATGATTATATTTTTACTATATGTATTTATTTTTGTATACAAATTTTCAATGATTTGTTTAAACTAATACTAGTTCAATGCTATAAAATTCAACTCAATAACTTATGTAATTTATATTAAAGTCAGTATAAACATTGGAAAAGGTTTTAATGACACGTTAAAACTTTTAAAATAACAGAGTAAAAAAATAAGCTGTTTAATTATTTTTGTGTTATCAATTTATTGTTATCACATGTAAAAAATTCAATACATTTTAAAGATTATATATCAAAGTATTCGTTTTTACATAACGTTTCTTTTTTTCTATCTTGACTTATATTGAAAAAATCACTTGAAAACTTATATAGGTTTTTATATCTTTTTATAGAATATTCTTACAAAATTCGAAATCAAATCTATAAAATGCTATGGGCCATCTGACTGACATATCTACCATTGTGCTCTTTAAAATAAGTCTTCCAATACTTGCAAAATCTATAAGTCTGAATACATTCTCACTAGTTACATCATCTAGGCTATGGTTACCAATCGTTGACGTAAATACGTTCTCCTTCGCTAACTTGGCATTTAAGTCCCCTAGGACTATCCTAATTCTACTTCATGGCATTTCATTGAGTGTGCGTTCCAACTTAGAGTCGAAAGAGTAAACACAAGAGGAGAAGGACAATTCTCCTCTTGATAAAATAATTTACACATTTATTTTTTTGGTTACCTTTAATTTCATATTATTATTGAACTATTATTACTAGCTATGTAATACTTTTTAAATTCATTCCTTATGCCTTGTAAAGGTGTTAACTTTCAAGTAGGAACACAAATTTTTAATTTATATATATAAAAATTTAATGTTTTATTTCTAATAAGCAAATAATCTTATATTAAAAACTCAAATGTCATTCACTATTAAAATAAAAAACCCAGCACAGTGGGGTCGCGGCACAGTGGTGACGTGGCATAGTTGGATCAAGTATAATGATATCTGATAGTGATTANGTGGCACAGTGGTGACGTGGCATAGTTGGATCAAGTATAATGATATCTGATAGTGATTAAAATCCCTATAAAAAAAAAAAACGCTTCGATGCAAATCTTTAGATAGAGTTTAATTTTTAAAAATTGGTGTATTATTCCTAAAGCTACATGATCTACTAGTTCCTTATTAATATCCTGATTAAGATAAAGTATTTCAAATGAATAAGAGATTATTAAAAAATATTATTTCTCATAAAAAATTGTATTGGTCCATATATGTTTCAAAAAGTTATAGCACTTTAAAGTAAAAAATGTAAATTATAAATTCGAGAATTTTCACACAAAAATAGCATTTTGTAGCCGTTTTCACCATGAAGACAAGTCCAGAGGTCAATTTTTTTTTTCAAATTAAAGTCCATTACATTAGTTTTAATTTAAGATATATATAAAAGTGTCAGACCTTCCGGAACATTTTCAAAAGTTAAGTTGAAAAAGTTAATTTTTTGTGAAAAAGTTGTCATTTTAAAACCCCCCCTGTAGGCAGATAAAGAGTCAAATTTACAAAAAAAATATACTAAATGATAGGTAAAGACATCAAGCATCTATAAAAAAAAATAATATTGATATGTTCATTTTTGAAAAAGTTACGGCAGTTTTTAGTAAAAAAAATTGAAAAAATTTCGAAAATTAGCGATATTTAAATTTGTAATTTTTTTGGAGGTTTCCCCCATTTACGGGGAACGAGGGAATTTTTTGAATTTTTAAGGGTAATGTCTTCGACTAGATACGATTTGTAATCTTTTGACGTATCGTTGAAAGAAATCCGTTCGGTGAGAGCTGAGAAAAAGTGGTAACAGACACAAAAAAAAACACAACACATCATAGTAAAACCAATATCTTCTCAGCTTCGCATCGAAGCTAACATAAAATATTTTATTAAGCTCAAAATATTTTATAAAATAAAGATGCCACCCATACATGGCATAAAGGATAAATTTAAAAAGTTTTACATAGCTATTTAAACAATAATAATATGTTATTATTGGTAACCAAAAAAAAAATTACATTTAAAACTATTTTTAAATAACATTTCAAATTTTACTGTTAAACTATGTTATGAATTGATGTATTTTTATTTTTTATCTTGCTAACACACTTCTGTATCTATTTTACAAAATTGATTAACCTTTAACCTTAAAAATTTATTGAGTAACTTAGAGTAAATTGCACTTTATTTTTGTATCGCATATAACTTATATTTATATTTTAGTTACAAACTAAAGTTATATTTAGTATTCTTAAAAAATGAAATATAACATAAATTTATGAAAAAATTGTATTATCTATATAATTTATTCAATATTATCTATATGATATTGTAACTACTAAACAATATTTTAATAGCATTTTATGCAAAATGATATTTTTTGGTTGCAAAAATCATAGCTAACCATTTAAATGTTTTTCATTTTTTTTTATCTAAAAAACACTTTTTTTTAAACATATAATCCCAAAATCGAAATTTAATGTCAAATAAGCTTTAGGTTAAAAACCACAGATATTATTTTAATAATAATAGATGACAACAGATTTATATGTACTTACAATTTTTATTTACAGAAAAAGTTTAATAAAAGTCAACAGAAATATTTTAAGGAATTATATAATGTGATTGCTATAAAATTAGCAGTAGAAGAATGATGTTAAATTGAATTACTCGTTTACGTGGCAGTTCACTAAGGTGTTTGTTATCATATTCTTTTTATTAAACCTATATTATTAAAATAAACAAATTTAAAAAATGTTAATATATTTTCTGTATGAAATATAAAATTGTAGCCATTTTGTGCTAATGTAGACAAGTGCTTGTTACCACTTTTAGCTATGTTTTCTTTACATCATTAATATATCATAATTTAATTGTATATTATAACTTTGTGGACATTTTAAGATGGTATCCAGTTATTATAAAAGAAGCTTTAGAAATTATTAAAAAAATAAATAAATGAAAGCTTATTGTTTCTTGTATCTTCTTTTTTCTAGCCTTTATCGCAAATTCTTGGGATCGGCCATCCTTAGTCTAAACTTCCACTTGACAAGATCTCCTATATCATCTACGCACACATCAGCCATCCTCGTATCGCATTCAATAACATCCCTCCATCTCATCATCCTCTACTTTTAATTCCTTAAACAATAATTACCATAACTGATCTTACATCTTCTTATTCCTCTCTCCTCATTACATAACGAGAGGATAGTAGTCAACGCCCCTACGACGTCCTCTTCCACTATCCACTCCTCCACGTCCAACAGCATGAACGCCACGGACATTGATGGGCGATGTACGCGGACGTCCATGCCACTCAGGGCCTCTCTGACCTTGGCGGCCAGCATGTCGGCCTGGGCAGCGGTACCCCAAACCTCCAGGAGCACTGCTCCCGACTTGGTTCTGCGGGTACCGGAGACAACGACGCCCAGCACCTGAAGGTCAATATTCGCCATGACCCTTTTTATAATGGCCGAATATTGTTGGCCCTCTTTAAGAAGACCAATAATAATGGCCTCGGTTTTCGGGGCCCTCGCCCTAATTACGGGCCTTCGCGTGGTAGCGGGAAACCCAGGGGTCGGATGGGGGTACACCATCGTGTTAGGCGTCTTCCGTCGCTTGATCACCTCAGACCAAGTGGCCGGCGGCGGTACCACAGGTGCTGCCACAGTCTGGGGCGGCGGACCCGGCAGAGGCGCTGCCTTTACTGTAGCGGGTTCCCCTCCCTTGTTACCGCTCTTCGACCTCTTCCTGCGCCTTTTCTTAGCCCTCTGGCTGTGCTCATCGACACTCTCTAAAGGGTCATACTCCTTTACCCTTTCCGGGGCAAACGGACGCCCATCGTCCAGGTCCCTCTGCATCATCCCTAATACAGTGGACTCTGAACTCCGGAACGCCTCAGCCGTCCGGAACGGGCCACACGGAAAACAATCCGTTGTCGACTCCACAACCCCCATGCAATGGAGCCAGTCGACCCATCGAGTAAACTCCGATTGGGTCAGTGGCATATCATCGCGGAAGCAATCACGCACGCCTTCCCAATCGTCCACTATCTATATAATAAAACCACCAGCAGTTTGGAGTTGATGGAACAACAAAAATAAAAGTAACAAAATGTATCAAAATTAAAGAGATAAAATACATTAATATACCCACCTCAGAAGTACAACAAAACACCTAATATGGGATTTAAATTTTGTAAAAGTATTCCCGGGAATAGAGAATATCATAGATTTTTATCAATTAGTAACAATACCATAAAAAGTCTTAAGATATCATTAACTGATACTTATGAAGACACAATATTCTAACTACTAGAAAAACCATGAATATTTATTAAAATATTTTACAATACTATCATAATAATTTTATTTATTTATTTTTTATTTTCCAACTAAAATAATGAGTTTTATATTTATAATGTGTCTAATAATTATATTGAATTATAATATATTACATATACAATGATATATAAAAAAATTTTAAAAATGTCGTTTGAAAACAACAAAAAACTGTCATTAAATTATTTAATTTTTACTGATTTTCTAATGCTAAATTTTACATGTTACACATTTTTCTCAAACTTTTAATTTTTATGGTGTATAAAGCAGATATATATCTACAAAACTAAAAAAAAAATTTTTTAGAAATTAGGTCCCCCAACAGATATATTGCACTTTGATACACGTATTTTTATCAAATTTCCAACTTTGTAAGCCTCTAAATCCCAAGATAATTGTTTTTAATATTTGAAATTTAGTTGAAACATAGATTATACACTATATAATACCACATGTAAAAATCACAATAAAATATTAACTTCTTAATGGTTTAAAGTGAGCTCAAAAACGTCAATTTTCTCAAAAAAGTGCCATTTTTTGAAAGTCATTTAAGTTTATAATTTCACATTAATTTTTTTTTTTTTTAATGTAATCTTTAAGTTATAATAAGGTCAATCCTAAAATTTTAATTCGATTGTGTTAATATTTAATAATCTGTGTGTTTTTTAACGTTCTGGCTATTTTCAACATTTTTTACATTGAAATAGCCATAAAAATCGGAAGGTCATAAAAAAAAAAAAAAATTGTTTTAATCTAGTTATAGCACAAATAATGAACCCTAAAAATTTAAGGAAAATATGAGGTGGTCGTGCAACCACTTCTGGATGATTTGGCATGGATTGACCCTATTACAAAATGTATTATTATTAATTTTTCTTGTATTTCTTTGAGCTCAAACATGGCTTATATTTACTAGTTTTATGTGTATTTACATTTAAATAATCATTTTTCTAAATTGAATTTTTTTATTATTAATATTACAATACAATTTAATTATTATAATACGAGTAAGGTCAGGATAGGTAAATGTGAATAGTGGTAATTGTAAATGAGGCACCGATAATCAATGTGTCCACATTGCGACGGGATGTATTTATTACATGTTTAGTTCGTATTTGTTCCGTATCATCGAGTAGTGGAAATTCTCAATAGATTATTTATTTTTAAAAATTAATTGCACAAACGGTGGCAGATCCACATAATCCCAATTCCACAATATTATATCGATTATAAAATTGCATTTACGATAAAACGATATTTTGAAAAAAATACAAGTCCAAAAAAAAATTATAACGTTCATAGTCGCGTGAGGGTCAATATGACCCATTTTAACTTTGATGGATATTTTAAGTCATACATTTTTTTTTCGAAGGTATTTATTTATGAAAATCTATTCAATATTACGATAAAAACCATCTTCTAAGGCTGTCAGTCTGGGCGCCCGATCCCCGGATCTCCAATAAGACGGCTCCCGTAGGGGTTCGCCTGGTGTCCGCCAATTGGACCCCAAGGGCATTTAGGTCAACGGCAGCCATCGCGGTCTTTAAGACCGCGGCGTACCGTTACTCCTCCTTTTTTTTTTTTTTTTCTTACAGCCGACTTCATGCAGACCGCCCCGGGACTGCCGTTAAGCATTGCTTCGAGGCGGCCTACGTCGCTTTCTAACAATTCTGCCACCGCGCTGTGCTTCGGCCCGAACTTAATCCGGGGCCGGATCACAGCGCGGTGCTGCCTCCCCCGTTAGCCGGACCCCACTGGTGGGTGCGTTGCCCGGGCTGCACCACGCGGATGTGGGGGCAGGACTTCGCGATGGGTTGGGTCCATCCTTGATGGGCACTCTTTAGCCCCGTTTCGCTGCGTTACAGTGTCGGCGTGATCGGGCTCTACGGGGCTACGAAACGTCGGCACGGGCGCAGTTTCCCTAGCTCGGGGAATCGGGCGCGTCCTCAGGTTGCGGATAGAGGAACGGCCTGCAGATATGCAGGTTAGCCGCGAAATAAGCAGTCCATTAATTTGGACTGACGAATAAGCGGTCGCGGACAGCGAGCCGCCCAAACGCTTGTTAACCCTGTAGATATGCAGGGTAGCCGTGAAATAAGCCTTTATGGACGAATAAGCGGTAGCGATTGGGTGAGAAGAAGCTACATGGACCACGCAACCAGTGAGTTGGCCACTCACTGGCCGAAGGGATCGGCTACGAGGGCAGCCCCCTCATAAAATTATTTCTATGAATAATGGACCAAACAGAGAAAACGGTTACTGCATCAGGGGTATCGGATGCCCCAGTGCCGGCGGTTGGTGTACCCACCAGGTGTCGCTCGGATCAAGCGAATACACAGTAAATGCAGGAGTGTTGAGGCAGGCTCCTGCAGCCCCTGTCGTGCACGGGCGAACATGTGGCGGAGAATGCCAGTGGCGCTACTCTCGCCTCTATTCCCCCCGCGATGCAATCAAACGTAGCCGGCGGACAAACCGGCTACGTCGAGTGAGACAGCGCCGACGGCCCCGGAGACGGCCAAGGTCCCGGCGAGCGCCACTCCCGTAGCGCCGCTGTGGACCGAAGTCGTCGGTCGGAAGGCCAAGGCAAAGAAGCCGACCGACCCGGGGTCCCGGGACGTAAGAACGGCCGCCCTGAAGCCGAAGCCACCTTCCCCGAAAGCGGGGTCGAGGAAGCCTTCGGCTGCCCAGATGAAGGCGAAGGTACCCCGCACGGAGGCGGGGCAGCAGTACGCGGCCGTTATGAAAACGGCCATGGCGGCTGTTGACCTCCCGTTGCGCTGCGCTACAGTGTCGGTGTGATCGGGCTCTACGGGGCTACGAAACGTCGGCACGGGCGCAGTTTCCCTAGCTCGGGGAATCGGGCGCGTCCTCAGGTTGCGGATAGAGGAACGGCCTGCAGATATGCAGGTTAGCCGCGAAATAAGCAGTCCATTAATTTGGACTGACGAATAAGCGGTCGCGGACAGCGAGCCGCCCAAACGCTTGTTAGCCCTGTAGATATACAGGGTAGCCGTGAAATAAGCCTTTTATGGTCGAATAAGCGGTAGCGTTTGGGTGAGAATGGAGATATATGGCAACGCAACCAGTGTAGTTAGCCACTCACTGGCCGGAGGGACTGGCTATGAGGGCAGCCCCCTCAGAAAATTATTTTATATGAATAATGGCAAACACGGAGAAAAAGGTTACTGCATCAGGGGATTCGGATGCCCCAGTGCCGGCGGTTGGTGGGGGGTGTACCCACCAGGTGTCGCTAGGATCAAGCGAATACACGTTAAATGCAGGAGTGTTGAGGCAGGCTCCTGCAGCCAACCACGGGGTTGGTACTGCGACTGCAGGGAGTGGTGGTGACCAAGCCACTCCCACCGGTGAAATAGCCGGGAGGATATTGGCAATGGACAGCTTGGATACTGGAACGGAATT